GGCCAGAGACTTAGAACGATTACAAACTATCAGAACACACAGGACATCCAAGACTATTCTAGCGATCGAATCCCCGACTACGATGCACAGACCTCCCATTAGATTTCGGACTGGACGAACACTGGCCCTTGGGATGGTCCTCGGTGGAACTCAGTGACAGGTCACGATACAGCTGGTCCTCTAGTGAAGTCATGGTGATGTCTAGGTCATAAGGACTGATGGTGTACAACTATACCATAGATATCTCTACTCGATTATTGGGAACCACTTAGAGATTTCTAGGGTGAGGGAGTTCAGTGAACTCGTCAACTTACGAGCACCCACTTATGCATGCCGATATCACAATACCGTTTACTGATGGGATGCAATACACATACACTAAGTGCTAGTCTCTTAATGGGAAAGGCCGATATCCTCATTGGTGGCGTAACCCTTTGACTAGGAACACGTTTAAGAGTTATAATACTTAAGTAAATATCTCACGATCCTAACGATCAATCACTAGTACTTGTAATAACTGTAAGGACTATATCTATGCTTGTGACAAAGGGACGAAGATATAGAATGCCAAGGTGTTTTATCATTAATACGAATAAAGGTTCTTTTATTACCATAATAAATACGAAAGAACACAGCCACATGTTGACTTGTTGGTCACCTACTCTAACACAAATAACAAGTTGTCTTCGACCACTGGAGCCCCCGTTGCTGACCCTACTCTTTATCGCAGCCTTGCCGCTGCACTGCAATACCTCACGTGTATTCGTCCCGACATTTGCTGTGATGTGCAACAAATATGTCTATTCATGCATGATCCGAGGGAACCTCATATGGCTGCTCTCAAGCGTATCCTTCGCTACATTCGTGGCACTCTCGACCACGGCCTTCACCTCTCCCCCAATCCGGACCTCTCTCTTATCGCTTACTCTGACGCCGACTGGGGTGGCTGTCCTGACACTTGTCGTTCGACATCGGGCTATTGCGTTTTCCTTGGCAACAACCTCATCTCTTGGTCCTCCAAACAACAGGTCACTACTTCTCGATCTAGTGCGGAGGCTGAATATTGATTTGTCGCAAACGCCGTCGCCAAAACGACTTGGTTACGCAACCTACTTTCTAAGTTGATCTGCCCACTTTCGAAAGCCACCATTGTCTACTGTGAAAACGTCAGTGCCTTCTACCTATCCAGCAATTCTATTCAACACTCTCGTACGAAACCTGTGGAGATTGATATCCACTTTGTCCGAGACAAAGTTGCTTTGGGACACGTTCGAGTCCTTCACGTCCCATCCGCCTACCTGTTTGCCGATATCTTCACGAAAGGACTCCCTACTCAACTGTTCCAACAGTTTGTCTCCAGTCTCCACGTCTTCTCCTTTCCCGTTTCGACTATGGGGGTGTATTATATATTATATATTATTATTATTATTATTATTATTATTATTATTATTATTATTATTATTATTATTATTATTATTATTATTATTATTATTATTATTATTATTATTATTATTATTATTATTATTATTTATTATAGTTATCTTGTGTAATAGGGCACCTTGTGTAATAGGTTAGAGTTTCCTACATGTAACTATATATATATATGATTAATATACGTGAGAGACATAATTCTCTCTTTCTCCAACTCTATTTCTCCTATAAATTGTGGTGCATTAATTGAGCTCGCCTGGAAAGTCGTCAAGGGTCATCATCATTAATTTTGTGGCGGCACCGTCTCTGCTCGGGACTTGCTGCTAATTACAGGTACCTAATCCTGTGCAAATTAGAGCGCTGACCTGCCGTCCTTCCCGCCTTTTTCCCTTTTTTT